CCCGCGGCCCGGGCGCTGCCGGCGGCGGAGCTGGCAGGGCTGGCAGGGCACGGCCCCCGCTCGGGGCTGGGGGGCAGAAGATGCCCCACCGCCGCTCCTGGCCCGGACCCAGGGACAACGAGGGGAAGGGCCTTCGTTAGCACGCTGTGCTTTAACGAGAGCCACGGAGCGTGATGCCAGCGCAGGTCCCCTGTGTGGCCCCCGCTGCTCAGCTGGCTCAGCACAGCGGGACGTTGCCCAGGACCCATGCGGTGACCAGGGACACGGTACCTCCCGTGGGCACCCACGCACCGGAGCAGCCGCGGCGGCTGTGGTCACACTCTTTGTGCCCAGAGGCCGAGGCTGCTGGTCCTCCTGGCTGTGCTGCCCCAGTCCCACACGTGCAGCCTGGGCACACAGCGCGGGGCTGGGCAGCGGCTCCGCCATCAGCATGGTGGCAGGGCTGTGGCTGGAGCTGGCACATGTCCCAGGGCCTGGCCAGGTGACTCCCCAGCCAGCGAGGGCCAGCACTGCGTGACCCAGAGCAGCACGTGCAGCTCGGGCAGCCCCCAGGCATGCGTCGATGTTTGCTCTGTGGCTTTCTCACATGGCCACTCGCACAAGACAAATGGCACGGTGACAGCCGGGGTTTGGCTTGGCATGGGCAGCCTGGGCCCATGGAGATCTGTGTCTCCATGTGGGATAGCTTGGTGGCCGTCTGGCTCAGGGGCTCGTGCCCACCTCCAGCATCGCAGCTGTGAGGTTGTGCACTTTGTCGCGGAGTCTCCGCTGCCCCCACCTTCACTATCCCCTGGATGTCGCTCTCCAGCTGGGAGAGGCACAGGGGGTGAGAGGAGAGCACGAAATGGCCGTTCACCCACCAGTGCTGGGATGAGACTGGGAGCAGGAGGGGAGCCGGCGTGTGCAGTCTGCTCCTCTGTGCTTTAGGGCTGGGAGCTGGGGGGGGCACAGACATCTCATCATTTCACTGGCACCATGTCCTGCTCCTGCCGGGAGACGCTGGCAGTTCCCCAGCTGGGACTGACCACGCCAAGGTACCAGGCCTAGGGGCTCACAGCCGCCAGCAGCCAAGCGAGCACGGCCTGCGCCGTCCCGGGGATGTAGCCATGTAAGGCAATGCCAGCAGGTCTGCTGCAGCCAGCAAGAGCCCGGCCGGCCCCTGCGCTCGGCAGTGACATCGAGTGATCACCCAGCTGCTGGATTCCTGAGCCGCCGGCGGGGGGGTCCCGCTATCGGCTCCCTCTGCTCCCAGAGCACATCCTCCCACCCAGCACACAGCCTCCATCGCACCGCCCCGGCTTGAGCACGGGTCAGCAATCAGCACTCGCTCAGTCTAGAATAAAGATATATCCGAGTAAATAAATAACCACCAGGCAGCATCCATCCTGGAGCAGAGGCCGGCGCTCGGGTGGCCACGCTGGCTGGGGAGGGTCAGGGGGAGCTTGGTTGTTCCAGTCCATATTTACTGCAGTTGCACGGAGCCCCAAGCCGGGCTGATTTCTGCGACGCCCCTGTCCTCTGCTGCCTTCCCGCACGGCCGTGTGCGTTTCTCACTTGGGTGAGCTGTGGAAACCCCGCACCAAGCTGCACCCCGAGGCTCCGAGCTGGCCCGGGGCTGCCCTCGCCCCAGGAACCAGCTTCTGCCAGGACACCGGGGCCAGCAGCGGGCAGGGAAGGGGCAGCGCAGGACCAAAGCAGAAGCAGGACCCGCCGGCCCAGGCGCACCGGGGAAGGGACCCTTCCCCCTGGCGAGGACCTTGCTTTGAGGACGGCCCTTTCCCTGAGGAGTTATTCACACAGCAACTGCCATCAGCGGGGCCGGGGCCCTCCACGGCGCCGCCAGGAGGGAGGCCGGGCAGCGGGGGGCCGCCGTCCCGCCTTCGCCTGGGACCGGTCGCAGGGAGCAGCACCGCGGTCACTGCCCCCTTCCCCTGGCCCTCACCGGCCGGGCACGGCTCATCCGCTCCCGGCAGACACCCGGGGAGCCAGGGCCGCT